TCCTTTGACTCCTCACATCTATGTTATAGTTGCACTGTTTGGAGTAAAAAAGGTAGTTTTCTATTAAATCGTTTATAAACAGTTTACAACCCACTTCCATAAGAATTATGACATTTTCTCCTTTACGATCTAATATCCAAAATAGGTTTTCTGAATTGAAAATTCTAAAATTTCAAGATCTTGTAAAGCTTTATAATTGTCTCTGTGTGTTTTATTTTCTTCAAAATAAACTATCAAATTAGTTTAATAAATTTTTTAAGCGACACACACAAATGTTACATTCGAAATACTGAAAATTTTAACTTGCAAACTTCCTTTTTTAACACTATCAAATATATCAAGCTCTCAATAAAACTTCAATGTATTTCTAACTGGAAACAAATAATACCATTTATAAAAAAAAAAAAGATTTTAACTAAATACCATTTTTATTCTTCTAGAGCGAAATCAAATTAAGAAATTTTTATTTGAGTGGAGTAAAAGTAGCGCCACTATTCACAAAAAGCTAAATAACTTTTTTAAAAAGCTAAATAACTTTTTTAAAAAGCTAAATAACTTTTTTAATATTGAGAATTTGTAGGATTTTTTTTTCTAGAATATAGTTATTTATTAAAGTAATTCTGCAGTGTAAAAAAAAAAAAAAAAATTAAATTAAAAGTTTCTATGGAAAATAAGATTTTATTTTTTAAAAAGTGTCCGCTTTTCGGAAAATTGTCCCTAAAAGCGCACAGTTCCAAATTATATAGATAAATTGATAAATTCAATATTTTTATATTTATTGTTAAAATATACACATTATAATAATACAAGCAAAAAATAACAAATAAAAAAACATAAACAAACTTGAACTTGAAATAAAAATAAAAAATTGTTCTGCAGCTTTTCGTCCAAAAAAATTCTTCGTTTTTTATATATCTTTTTGGGAGACAAGGCTCACAAAGCCACGAACTGCAACTTGATTTTTAACAAGTTTTCCATAAAACTTGCATTTCTGACTTTTCATTTGCAAAAAACTTTGGGCACTTTTTATACTTTTTTTTGGCGTTCTTGGCAGGAGTTTCTACTTACTGCTGCAATTTCAACATACATTCCTTTTAATAGCTTCGCGCCATCTTCTTCTCTTAACTTATTTAAACATACTTCTTGTCTAAAAGCTTAACCAGCCACTGTTCTAACATTGTTGGTTTTTTTGCTTCAAAAGAGCTCTTTCAACACTGATTTTTACACGAATCGCGAACTCTTCATGAGAAGTTAAATTTAAAGTTGAAATTGAAGTTGGAGTTGCAGGCGGAATTAAGGCTTGTGTTTGTTGAACAGTTTGAGGCAAATAACTTAGGCTGCGTTGTGATTTTGTAACTGCTGATGATGTTATTAAAGTGTTATTAAAAGTTTGAGAAATCAAAAAAAATTTTGATTTGTCAATGTTGTCTTGATTTAATGGAAAGTGCCCAGTGTTTTCAAAACCAGCAATAGTTTGAGTACGAGTGTAAGCTTAGTTGCTTCTACACAACTGTGCAAGGAGACTTGGAAAAATTTTTTACCAAGAGGCTGCAGAATGTGGGATGTATGGGCAGGAATGCAAATTAGTGTTATACTATTTTTTTTACGTTTGAAGGCTACACTTAGTAACACGTGTGTACTCTTTCTAAGCGCCAATCGAATTGATGCACTCTTAAAGGCGCTAAACTCTAGCATGTCAACAAACCAGCGAATTAGCTTGAACTAGTGCTCTTCTTGAAAGCAGTGCAATTGCCCGAACGAAGCAAACTGCCAGAAAATCAACATTTCATCACTGCAAAAATTGATTACTTTCCATCCAACCAGGTGGTAATGTTGTGTAAAGTGTTTTTGGTGGGCCTCCTTTAATGCAATTATCATAGAGTCAATTCTTTGATTTGTAAACAACAAAAGGCGGTGGAGGGAATCCGTCAGCATTAACACAATTAAGAACAGTTTAGTTTCTTTTTTTGTTATTTTCAGTTAATACTAGTGGACGCTTTGCTTCTCTTCTGATAATTACTTTCGCATCGTCTTTGTCACCATTGAAACCAGTTTCATCACAAATGCATGTCTTTACTAAAACCTATTTTGCTAAATCAAAATGTTTTTTCAAAGCATCAAAATAACAGGTAATAATTTCTGGTATGCATGACTTAGCTCTCAAAAGTACGATGTTTTGTAGCTGTTCTTTCGCTTAGTTCTGAGTGCCATCGACTCATAAATCCTTTGTACTATTTGCGACCAGACATTCATTTTTTTAAACCAATCTTGTTTCATCATTTTCAATTAAATAGTCTCTCACTAAAACTTGAACTTACCCAAGTAGCAAACAATATTGGCGCAATATTGGCGCGATATTGGGTATCTTGGCCTAGATTGGCCAAGATATGCAATATTGCGCCAATATTGGCAAACAATATTGCGCCAATATTGGCATATCAATATTGGCCAATATTATCATACCATTATTACGCCAATATTATTTTCCTAATATTGGAAT